AAAATAGAGGGGCAGCAGAAAAGAAGGCGGCCCTCACTCAATCAGAGGGATTGACACAACGGCAGCAACAATGTTTCTCAACTATAACAACCACTGTGAGGTTGGACACAGGACGGCAGCGCTTCCTTCTAGTCGCGCATAGGGCTGCGAAGAGTCAGACGAGACTGCAAGGCACCTGACAACCAGTTCTTCTTCGTATGAGACTCCTAAAGAGACTGCCAAGGTGAACTGTTAGAACCTCCGCGAAAGAAATCATCCCAGACTACACACCTGGGAGGAGGAGACCGGGTAAGAGAGTGGGAAGAAAGACACACATTCAGCTTCATTGTGAGACCACTGCCAGGAGTCCTGTACAAATGCCATGCCTTCTGCATCAATTAAAACACTTGGCATCCAATAAAGTACACTAATAAATTACATCAGAGGATGTAGCAATTATCAAGGTCAGTGGGCTGAGGGAGTCAATTAGTATTCTTATTCTTAAACAAAAGGCATCCCTCAATGAACAGCTCTAGACAACAATACATCCTACATGGCATCTCTAGTTTTGTTCCTGGTCTAATTGTCCTTGTTTGAAACCCGGGCCGAGACTCCTTGTCAATAGCCCAGCGCATAAAAGAAACCGCCGGCTTAAACGGTTAAAAATATAATCTGACAGTCGGTAGCGGTGCGTCTAAATTACATGCTCCACAGAGGCTCCGAGCAAACATGTTTATTTTGTTGCCACATGATCTAAATCCAGAGCTTCAAGGCTCGGCCCAGAGTGCTTCCGATGAAACTGTGTGCCTCCCCACTCCACAACCCCCACTTTGGCGACTCAGAATGCACGGGAACCCACGGACGCGCCCACCGAGAGAAACGCCGCCCTACCCTAACCTGGACCTCATCCAGTTTCCTGGAGAAATAAGGCGTACATCCCGATAGAGAGAACCTGTTTGAAAGAGCTTTTCGGAGGATTCCCTTGGATCCTACTTCTTTCTCTCCCTTGTTTAAATGTACAGTGATTTCCAAGGGCCCCGGCTGTTCAGCAGGACCAATGAGGCTTTTAGCCCATCAAAAGCTGACTCAGGTGGACCACGTCTACTGTGCTCGGAATAGCAGACACGGGAACTGCGTGTAACTTCTTAAAAGCACTCGCTGAAGTGTCTTCTGCTTGATCACCAGTTAACCTCCAACTCCCATTATCCATCAGTATATTACTAAGGAAGCGTTTTTGATTCACTGCTTCCTGGACAAGGAGTCCCTGAGTGACCAAAAAACAACAACAGTTAAGTCAGAGGTTCGCAACCTGTGCGACCCCTTTGGGGGGGACAAACTTCTGTCTCACAGGGGTTGCCGAAGTAACAATGAAAATAATTTTATAGTTGGGGGGTCACCACAACATGAGGAACTGTATTGAAGGGCCATGGCATCAGGAAGGTTGAGAAGCACCGAGTTAGGTGTTCAGCTGTAAGCTGAAAGGGCGGTGGGTTCACACTCACCCAGAAGCACCTCAGAAGAAAGGCCTGGTGATCTACTTCTAAAGGGTCAGCTATGGAATGTGCTACGGCACACAATTCTACTCTAACACACCTCGGGTGGTCACTCGGAGGAGCTGGCTCAAGGCTGGCCTGGTCTGGTCTGAATGGATGGCGCCTTCGTGGTTACCGACCTGCTGACTTCCGTTGTTGTTGTCAAGTGCTATCCAGCTGGTTGCACCCTCTGCACAACAGAAGGCAGGCGCCGCCCGGTCCCGCGCCATCCTCTCAATGGTTGCTGTGCTTGAACCCATTGTTGCAGCCCCCGGGTCAGTCCATCTCCTGACCCTCTACTTTACCAAACGTGATCCCCTTCTCCAGAGGTGGCTCTCTCCGGACATGTCCAAAGCATGTGAGACGAAGGCTCGTCATCCTTGCCAATAAGGAGCCCTCCGGCCGTACATCTTCCAAGCCAGATTTGTTTGTCCTTCTGGTAGTGTACAAAACATGCAGCGAGTGCTAGCTCCATCCTTGAAAATATACTCTATTAGAAAAATAAAGGGTTTAGTCCTCATGCTAATAGTCACCCTGTGAATATTTTCAATAGACAGACCCAGAATGTCAACTTTTAGAGAGGTCTCCCTTTAAAAAGATCAACAGTAAGAAATTCACTCATCGACCACTCACTTTCCTCCACCATCCCTGAGGGCATTTCTCATCTTGGGGAAATGTCAGCCGTGTCCAGGTAGGTATCTTATTGAGGGCAGGTGGTCACATTGCACCGGAAAGAAACTCTACAGGCAAAAGTCATGGTCCAACACTCGCCGCCTTAAGACGGGTTTTATTATAATCCAGTCGCAGCTAAACCAACGAGTTCATTAAGCCACTTGGCAAACCTACAATTCACAAAGCATTTGGACTACAGCTTATTCCCGAAGCTGCGTGCCCACACCCCGCGGAGCAGGGCATCTGCCCTTGGCTGACTGACTAGTGGTGAGGTGGTGATTTGTGTCTGTGTGAGTCTGCGCCAAAGACTGCGGCACCGGGCTTGCTCAGACAGCACTGCGCGTCAGGGCCTTGTCTCAGAATAGTTTCTGCCACTATGGTGCTCTCTAATGTGTACATAACTTTCTTTAATACCACCACATTTCCTTTTATTTGTTATAAATCCTGTGAATAACCTGAATCTCAGA